TACATAGTTATCGATAAATACAAAAATTAATCGAAACAATACTTTCGCTACGAAATAATGTCACTATTTCAATAAATACTTTGCTTTCAATTCAGTAAAAAAACAGAAACCGAGTCGAAGTTCGATTGTAATTGGAAAAACATTGTTCTAATACTATTATTCTGTTCACTCATTCTAAAATACATAGTTATCGATAAATACAAAAATTAATCGAAACAATACTTTCGCTACGAAATAATGTCACTATTTCAATAAATACTTTGCTTTCAATTCAGTAAAAAAACAGAAACCGAGTCGAAGTTCGATTGTAATTGGAAAAACATTGTTCTAATACTATTATTCTGTTCACTCATTCTAAATTACATAGTTATCGATAAATACAAAAATTAATCGAAACAATACTTTCGCTACGAAATAATGTCACTATTTCAATAAATACTTTGCTTTCAATTCAGTAAAAAAACAGAAACCGAGTCGAAGTTCGATTGTAATTGGAAAAACATTGTTCTAATACTATTATTCTGTTCACTCATTCTAAATTACATAGTTATCGATAAATACAAAAATTAATCGAAACAATACTTTCGCTACGAAATAATATCACTATTTCAATAAATACTTTGCTTTCAATTCAATAAAAAACAGAAACTGAATTTCGTTGCCCAAAAGAGTCTGAATTTGTCCACGTATTCTCATTATGAGCGAAACTTGTTCGTTTCGCGGCGACGTTCATAACTCCACCTCTGATATCGTAAACTGAATTTCACAATTAACTGTCCCGAAATAGAAAGTTGATCTCTCGAATTTCGTGCTGCGCCCGATGCACCCCGTGCGGCGCACCCAGTGCATCGGGTTCCGCAGTCCCCCCATCCGAAAGAGAAACGAAGGAATCGTTGTTGCTGTGACAGTGCAGTGCCTCACTACCAATTTCTCTCGGTCCACTTCGCAAGCCAGCCGGCGGAGATCAAAGTGGAGCTCGTTCATTCCTCGACGACGCGTCGCGAAATCATCGTCAACGCTTTCACGATAAACGAGAATATACGAACCGAGGGCGAGTGCTGTGCCGGGAGCAGCGGGCGCGGGATGAGCAAGAGAAGAAGAGGAAGAAGACGGGTGGAGAAGAAGAAGAAGGAGGAAAAGGACGAGGAGGAGGAGGAGGAGGAGAAGGAGGAGGAGGCTGCATCGTAGGAAATAAGTAAATCTCGGTATCACGAAACGGCATTGATTCCCAAGACGTAATCGGGTCTGAGCTTGTCGGCGCCGCTCGTGACGATTTACCGAGGAGCGAGCCGCGTGCGAGATCCTTCAGGCGAAGTGCTTTGGGTACCCGGCTGTCTCTCCCTGGAGTGCTCTGACCTGATTGAAAGATCCCGGGGATCGTATGCGAATAGATGAGGATTGACCGAAAGAAGGCGGTACGACTGCTCTGATGTCGTCGCGAAATCCTCGGGGACTTCCGCCGGCAAAGTGAGGATGCTTGTAAACGCGCGGCCGTGTTTGCTCCGTGGAGCAGGGCTCCTTGTTTCTATGATAGGACGATCAGTCTTCGCGGAGGACTCCGGTCTTAGCCGCGACGCGGCCGGGCCGCGCGGGACCAGGCCGGGCCAACAATTTCCACGCGGGGCTTCCGCAAAGACTCGTTAACCTGCCGGCTCGTTACGTATCAGCCGTGAAATAACACCAACCCGAGACGGATTTCCGGCGCTAAGCGCAACAGCTATCAACCCGGCTCCGCTCTCGCACGCTTATGTTAGTTCCGCGCCTGCCTCGCCTCGTTATCGCGAAGCCTTTCGAATGCCGCTGAATTGTTCACTCTTTCGTTACCCCGCGACTGTTACAATCGCCTGCCAACCCTATCCCCTACCCGCCGACATCGCGGCCACGCTAAAGGAGAAACGTCTAGCGAGCTACTTACACGTTCCGGATCGCTTTTGTTCGACCACATTCGACAACTGCGAATGTACACGGTGATACGCTAAACCGTCGCGAAGCAATATCTCCGTTATCGTGGGTCTTTGTGAAAAGAATTCTTTTTAATCGCGGCACAATGATATCGTGTGAAAAGGAAATTTAATTCTTGTTTTCTTTTCTCCTTTTACACACCTTGTTAAATCAAAAACGTGTAAACAAAATACCGCGCGGAAAAAAAAGATATTTACAAAAGGTCTTTATGAAAAGACTGTTTTCAACCGAGCTAAATCGAATGAAATCGTGTAAAAAAGGAAATTGAATTTATTTTTCTACACCTTGTTAAATCGAAGCCGTGTAAAAACAGAATTGGGTGTACTAGTAATATTTCCGATGAAATGTTGGAAATACATGTATCTTTTTTTTTGTAGGATTGTTTACACTGAATCGAATTACGGCAGCAATATATATTTGTGAGAAAATTTGACGGTTTGAAAAATCTCCATACACGATTTTCTTCGTAATTTATTTCTGCACAAACCACAGTAAATGTATCAGTTTGAAAACTGCATTTTTGGACGAGTTGTTTTAGCTTGTACATTAATTGAATGCGTTGCAGTTCGAAAAGGCTATAAAATATATATTAACTGAATAATTTCTGTACTTAAAAAATATGGTAAAATATCAATACTGGAAAAGTCATGTGTCATAATTGTTGGAATACGCAAAGTAATTCAGTAGCTTATTTTTCTTCACATTTTTGTAACTTTAATAGAACAAGAAAAAATAAAGACGCTGTTTCTTCTTAAAAATTTCCTTTTTCATGTATATTAAAATTTGCTCCTTTTAGCACGTAATTGCAAATTGAAAAAAAAGAAACGTTGATAGATCGATCAAATATTTGGATTGTTTATTGTTTCGAAACTTATGAAGCACTATGTTACTTCAAGAAATACATTAAATGAAGCCTGTTTTTATGGATAGATTCATCGATTGCCTGAAGCACGCCTGAAACATTCATCATTGTTGTCTGTGTATATAAGAAAACATCAAATTCGTGTTAAAAAGGTAGCGAATTAATGTCTGCGTCTAATAATCTCGTTACGCGCGCACACGTGAAAGCATGCGAGCTGCACGAGGTGAATAATAAATTATAGAAAATGCGACTGGAAAGCAAAAGATACACAGCCGCAACATGTAAATAAAATATATTGGCGGAAAGTACAGACACGCGAGGTCGCTTTCGAAATATTTCAGTGGCATATACACTCACGATATAACCGAATACTGCTCTCGGAGGCGCCTAGAGAATTTTTGGCCACGCACTGATAGGTTCCCACGTCGCGTTTCTGTAGATTTCGAATAGTCAGCACCATCCTGACTTCGAACTGGGATTTCGGGATCGCCTGTACACCGTACTGCTGGCTCGCTATTATCATTACTATGGGAACAGAAAAATACTATTTATAAATATCCATTTTCACATCCATACATATATATATTATGTAACAAATACTCTTCGCTCGGATTTAATGACTTTCATTTAAAATTAATTGAATACTATCATTGAAGAAAAAATATTGGTTTCTACATAGAGAATTTTCTTTTTAAATAACAGGTAATCAGCCACAATTTTTAAGAGGTTTGTGTAAACACGATAGAATTCATCGATT